TTGATTCATAGGCCATCATGCAATGAAATTGTTTGGATTGATGGCTTGTAAATCAAGTTTACTACTCCTTTAAGATGTTTGATGATAAGGAAGGGTAAAGTGTACAAACATCCCTTAAGAATATCCTGTTTTTTCTCTGTCTGTTCTCTGTTGCAGCAGGAAGGGCCAGACTCCAGTGGCCGGCCGGCTACTTTTTCTAGCCGGCAGGCCATCATTTTGTGGACGGCAGGCTACCTTTGTGGCCAGCTGGTCACCACTTTGCCCTGTCAGCCACCTTTGCAAAACCAAGCAGTGTACTTTTCTAGCAAAACAGAGCTGATTCTGAGATGAAAAACATTGAAAATGTTCTACTGTGCAACAGAGGCATCTGGCAGCAGGACAATGGCCTTTTTCGGATGAAAATCTGTGCATGCATAAGCATTCCTCATTTCTCGATGCAGAGTAATTAGAATAGCTAGCTTAGCACTTCTTTCATATTATATTCATGTAATTAATTAGTTCATTTTGATTTGTAATTAATTAATTAGTTAGTTCAATTAGTTAGTTAATTTGTTGTAATATTTAATTAGCTAATTTAGTTGTTTATTTCATTCATTTTGTCATAGTTTGCGTGAGGGCACAAATGTTGTAACAACGTGTATGTCTTCCAACCCCACGTCTTTCTCTCTTTTATTTACCTGCTTATGATGGTTAGTTTAGAAGCATCATGTTTCATTTAGCATCTCTCATGTTTGCATCCACTTGTATTGCATGCATTGAGGCTCGGCGCAACATTCTAACTTGCATCGTTAGTTAAATGCCTCTTTGAATACGTGCTTAGACCGCATGCTATTAAATTGATTCATATGCCATGTTAGTAGTCGAGCTTAGTAATTGCATATCGCATGTGTTGCATTAGTCATGTTGCATTAGTTAGGATCATACATTTTTTCTAACTCTTTTGTTTATTTTGGCTTGGAGTACTAGGTGAGCCTTTACTCGTTTTAGCATATCGCATAAGGGTGGTTGTTGTCATATCCAGCATGTTCACCATGAGGCTAATTGCTTAAATGATATAACTGTTTGAATGCCTGTAGATGAAGGCTAATTGCTTGAATTGGAATGTCTTTATTAATGTACATTTAAGCCCACGTTTTCAAGTGGCACATTTACAAACTCTTTTCAAAAAACAAACATGAGATCAGATGTTCCAGTTCTTGCAAAAATTAGTCTATACTTGTGTGAGTCACATAGTAAGTTAGCCTAATAAATCGGAACAAGAGCATATAATGTAAATAAGAATCACATCATAATTAGTAGGGGCCGATCTTTAATCGGGCGAGCGGGGGTGCTCAATTTATGACCTTCCCCTCTCGTACCTAAGTTCCCGAGCCGAGACAACTTTGGTGATGACGGACTAATGGTCTTTGGCACGAGTCTTGGGTTTCCTAAATTGCCAAAAAAAATATTTAGGCGACGACTCTGAAATCTAACAAAACAGTCCATTTTTGGCATTTTATTCAAAACATTGATTTTTCAAAAAGAATTGTCAGATTTCGACTCTTTTTATGTTTTCACTATTTTGCATTGCACTTGTAAAATCATATTCAGAACCACGAGTAGTGTCTGAACTGTAGGGCTTCTCGTCTTCTGAAAGGAGAGCAAAAAGTCGAGCTACAGCAACATTGCTTGCTCGGCAACATTATTCAGCAACAAACATTACTCGGCAACATTGCTACGATAATGCCACATAGCTACCACCTTGTTGAATTCGCATAGCCACTCGACTGTTTTTGGACGCTCAGCACCACAACTCCATCGCCACACTCATCGGCCATGATATTCATCACTAACGGTGCAAGTATATATCCATAATCATGTTGGCTATAACCGCGATACCGTCTCGGCATAGAACTAGCAACTCGGCTTCAAATTTGTCAAATATTTCAGAGGTGTCAATATCAAGATCTAAATATACTAGAATGTTTGTATCGACTTGAAGAGTCCAGACCCACCAACCAAAAGAATCAAAAATTAATCGACGTTCGCTGATAGTTGCGCAATAGACCAAGTTTTTGAAAAACTAAAATTTTCAAAGTTGTAAAAATCAAGTTTTGCATATACCGGTGTGAAGTACTCAGTACTCATTGAGACGAGTCCAACACAACAAACCGCATCGAAATCGGACTTAAAACGAAGGAGATATATGGACTCAAAGTCACAAGTTTGAAACTAAAACATTTTGCCTTTCACGACGTGCAATATAAAGAAGATGACATAATGATTTAACGTGCGCTTCTTGGCACAAAGTACTTTGTTGTATCTTATCGCGTTCAGGTTAATCGGATGGTCCAATAACTTCGAAGATGTCTACCCTCTAGTTTTTCAATTTGTAGAATCTTTTTTGAAGTCCAATTTTGCCAATTCCGAGTCTCACTTTAGGATCCTCGAACCGGCCAATCAGGGACATTAAATGATAGATCACCGATCAGACAGTCTGATCGGCATGCAATTTCAACAACAGTCTCATGAAGCTATGTCGTAATCATCCATCTTCGCCAATCCTTCATTCATCACCTTGGCCATATAACTGGGGCAAGACCCATAGCTTGGATTACTTTTACTTTTGGCTCCACAACATGAAATCTACGTCATCCAAGGTCCAATCACAATGATCCAATAGTCATTTCCAATTAGTTATTTGGAGCGTTCCAAGCACATCTGTACTATTTGATTTTGCTAATTCCATACCCCAAATTTGCACATTTCAGCAACTAACAAATATTTGATGACTTCTCGACTACCTAACTGCCCAAATCATGTCTCCCCAACGCGGAACCTGCACACCAAAATGCGCAATGGGGCAATTTTGGCTTGAGTCCATTTCCAATCCCTTTCAAATAACATATTTCATTCGAAAGGAATGGGGCCAATATATGCTGTATACAATGCAAGACTAGCTTATTTAGACTCGGCACAACCACAATTCAGGTTAACAATCTAGCTCAAGGGCAAGAAATCAACTTAACAATCTACTTCAGCATGCTTCACTCAGTAATTCCTTACAACGGTGCAATGCTATTTTTTAATGCTCTACCACTGGAGTAGATTTTTCAGCTTTCACTTTTTTGTGCCTAACAAGTCTACATTATCTGGTACAGGCAATCAATGACACGGGATGTATTATTCACAATGTTTGCAAGGTCTGAAATTGTACAGAGAGCCATCACCAAAGCCTTCGAATTTGGAGTGCTCTTCGTGCTTGGCATGGAGAGTCATCAACAAAAGCCTCCGAATTTGGAGTAAGACATACATTTATACATACATTCAAGCATACATGCATTCATACAGTCATTCATTCATTCATTCATTTTATTCATTTATCGGAAGTGTTCTTTATCCAGAAACCTACTATCTATTTGAACAACATAGCTCAATAATAAAAACTCCCATCTTTCTATCAAAGACAATGAAAGTTTTGGGGCAATTGCGGGAGCCTAGAAAAAATATCAGCTCACTTAGGTCCAACCCAAACAAGTCTTAAGAATGGGCTAAAACCAATAAGAAAGCCAACCAAGCAACTATCAAATCTATATAAAAAGAAAGCAAGACATAGAAGGTAAGGGGGTTCTCACATCTCTACAACACAACACAGCACATCACATTCAATACCCTTGATTTCTTCATATTCTTTCTTTGATTCAAGTTGCTTCATCAGAGTGTCTCCGACCAACAACCTCAATTGAGTGGTGCTGACTATGTTCATCTTCGCAGATCTACAGGGGTTCAACTTAACTTTTCATTAGATCTCATCAACAATCCATGTGAAAGGATTTTGGATCTCACAGTTATTATTGGTATGCACTGTTTTGGGAAGTTGGATTGAGGTGAGTTGGGATTGAATAACCACAAAAAGATAAAATATATTTTTTAATCTCAAGCTAAAAAATGTCACATTCAAATCATAATCATTTTATTTTTTCTCTCACAAAGTCAAAAAAACCAAAAAAACTATCCAAAACGAGACTTTTTAGCCCCTGATTAAAATAGTCAAAAAGTCAACCCACATCCTAAATGAAGCCTATGTATAAAAAAATATATTTTAAAAAAAATTAATAAAAAAGTATATTGAAATATATGTATATATATATATATATTGACAATATTTCAGTTTCAATAATACTACAGTTACCATCATTATATATACCACATTTAGTGAAGAAAGTAAACATTGCTATTTGATTTTTAACAAGCACCTAATGTGCTGTCGTTAACAGGACCTCATTCATTTCGTATTCCCCCAATTTATAATATTTCCTATAAAACAAGAAAAAAAAACATAAACAAAAGCCAAGTGGCCCAAAGGAACTTTTCCATGCCTTATGGCATAATTGCACTTCACAAAAGGTTTACTGACCTTCGACAATTCTACTCTATAAAATAAGTAGGAAATTGGAAAAAGATATCAACTAATTGAAAGAGTTCAATTCACATGCACTCCTAACGATAGCTACCTCCCAACTCCACACCATTAAGGGCACCAATACAGAAACTTGAAACTAAAAAATCGAACCCAATAATAATAATAATAATACAGATAAACAAGATTCTACCGATTTATTGATGAGCAAGAATTTGTGTTTGGTTGTGTTTGATTTTTGTGAACAGAGACTTACTGAACTCTAAATTCGTAGCCATATCTCAAGTTTCTCGTTCCTAGCTCACCCCTGGTTGGTTGGCATAGAAGGGTTTTTAGTATAACATCATGAAACTTAGGACAAGTCATAAAGGGGCAGTTAAAATCTCTGAAAAAGAAACTGACTACCCACAGATTTAAATCTCAACACTGGGAAACACCAGGGCTACAAACAAATTGAGCATCTAGGGGCTGCAAGCCACTGATCTGCTGCTTCTCCCCAAGCAGTTGGCACTGTAGAGATAATGGCAGATTGGGTAGTACCTAAAATGTCGACAGATCTGAGAGCATGAGGTTGGTTCGAGTCGCCATGTTCTTCCACATAGAACCACAGTAACAAGCATGGAAATGAAGATAAAATTTCTTGAACTTGACAAGCACTAACAAATGAAATCTCAAGCACTTGAAAGTTGTAACAAATATTAATATAGATGACTAAACTAGTCCCATACGTGCTTTTCATCTATCATCAACACAACTTCCTGTCCAAACCACAAAAGACCGTGCTCCAAATTGGCAAATAAAAGAGAACATGTCCAGATTCACCATCATGCAACTTCAGCTTCCTCGTGGAGGAGCATCTGATTGAAATGCCAGACACCTGAAATGCCAGGAAAAAAAAGTAGAATTTAGAAAACAATATAGAGAGCATATAGAGAAATCTGGAAGCACATGTATAATAAGGCTGAATTTGTAAAAACAAAATTGAGTAAAGAGAGGACCCAGGGTTGAAGTAAGAATTTCGGTTCATACCATGTCCTTTGCCGACTCTTCTTAGCTGTGCAACATATTCTGAGATCTTCTTAATGGCTTCCACCTAATACAGAGGACAAAATTAAACCCCAAATTCGGTTTTCAGAAGTATATCTTCTACCAAGACATATAAAGAAATTTCAGACAGATGGGAAGCATGAAAATTGTAGTTCACCTGCTCATTTAAAAATTCACTTTCAATAAAATCAGCCAACTGCACATCATTGTGCCGCATCGCTACCTGTTTTCACAAAGTTGGTCAATGTCACTAGCAACCAATTGCCTCTCTTAAAAAACCAAAAACGAAAAAAAACAAAAAAAGAAGATGGTGGGGAAACAAATTCAAACACTTTGGATTACAGGGATCAACTTTTCAGTCCTGAGGGTCATGGAATCCAACTTCACAGTTAACAAGCCATTATCTCCATGGCTCATATTTAATTGCCTAAAAACAATGAAAACTATAACAAGAACTAAAGCTAAGGAAACAAGAAAAAGAAGAAATATCTTACAGCGTGCAAGTTCAGAAGTTTTTCATTTGTCAACTTCTCCAAAGACAACGCAAGCTCCATTCCTAAATCAACAAATAAGAGTTCATATGTGAAAACTCAGAACCATGAGTGCACAGGTTGACAAGCCATGCACACAAACAAACCACATAATGCTGCACTTTGCAAGAGCTTAGTCCTTGCTCAAGCACCATTGGTAACATAAAAACAAAGCACTGAAACAACAGACAAAACAAACTAATATATGTTCCTCCAAGTGAATACTACATGAGTACGTCACTGTGGACATCAATACAAATTAATATACATATGTGCAAGGAGGTCCATAAGCAAGAATTTCCATATGTGCCAAAATGAATGCTTCTTACTTTATCAAAACACACTACATGATAAAAACCATCGCATAAAATTCAATTGCATTTAGAGTTTAGAAGGGCAAAAGAGGGAAACAAGTGCTAAGGAATAAATTGTACTTTATGGGCTATAGAAATCATAATCTCATGCCAAACAGATGAGCATTTGAATACATCTAAATTCCTATATACTGTAATGCTATGTTTGGTTCATTGGAATGAGAGGAAATGGAATCATCATTTCATGAAAATGTTCATTCTCACGTTTGCTTCCCAAATTTTTTTTTTATAAAAAATGCATTACAAATGGAATCATCAATGAATGGCCATTTATAAGAAGGCAAAGGAATTATAATTTCCATTCCAATTAACTTTCATTCCAGTAAACCAAACTCTAATCGATAAAGACGGCAATGAAGGAGGTCCAGAGGAGCATATAAAACTTACCATACAGTGCGTCTCCTTTCTCAGCATGGTCAAACTCAGACAATGGCATCAGAATGGATTGTAGCTTCACTTTGCCACCGCGTTTGTTCTAAAATTTATTGGGGAACACATTAGGGATTCAAATTCATAACAAAACTACTTCAGTTTTCCAAACAACATGAAAAAATAAATAAATAAATCACAGGAGCAATTTTTCAAACACCTGGTACTTCATGAACTTCTCAGCATGGTCTCTTTCCTCTTCACTTGATTCCTCGAAAAACCTACAAATAACAAAATCACAAATCAAATCCGACCTTTACCCAACAAACACTAGAGATAAATTTTTTTTTTTTTTTTTTTTTTTTTTTTGGGGGGGGATCATTTTGAGAGTAACGAATGGTTACTTTGCGAGACCCTTGAGCGCAACGTTGTCTCGATCGAAGTAGGCAAACATAGCATGGTACACATAGGAAACGTTGTATTCAACACTGTCAACACAAACAAACATAGAAAGAACATCAGAAAGAAAGCGAATCGAAAATTAACTACACAATCAGAATTCAAACAGAGTAGAAAATGGCCCAGAAAAGAGTATAAAAACCAAGAAAACCATGCAAAGTTTTGACATAAATGTTGAAACACTGATTTTGACAGATACGTCTTCTTATGACTGAATATCAATGAAAATGAAAGCAATCACATCAAGTCAAAGTCTAATACATCTTATACAGAAACAGAGGGACCAGAAATGGTGGATTAAAAGGGAGAAGAACAAAAAAATATGAAAACCCACTTGATCTGTTCGTTGATTGAGGCTTCACACTCATCGGAATACTTCTGGCGAGCGAGAGAGGCTTGAGGGACATTAGGGACAAGCATAAGCTCCTTCTTCACCTCTTCGAAGGGATCGAAAACGACTCCGGTTAAGGGACTATTGTTCGAACCCTTGGCAGCGCAAACCACGAACCCATTTTGACTCTTCGATTGCGAAACGCCGAGAACAGAGGCCGCAGAGTTCAACGAAGAAGACGAAGCAGGGAACATAAAGGGGCTCGGATTGTCGCCATGAGTGTTCAAGAGAGAGAAAGCAGAAGCAGCTCTGAGAAGCATGGTTTGCAGAGAGAGAGAGAGAGAGACAGAACAGGGGGAAACAGAGAGATGTGTGGAAAGGGATGTGAGATATTTTGAGAGAGGGAGAGAGAGAGACGTGGAGAGATAGGAGAAAGAAGCTGTTTGGGATTGGGTCGTTGGATGGGGGTCAACGTGGACGTCTGAGATTAAGTGGTGGAAGAGGGCGCGTGGCAACCCCGTGGAATATCTGGAGATGCTTCATCTATTTGTCTTTTGCAATCCCAACAAAGAATAATGCTTGAGACCCCCTTTTGGGGTCACCCCTCACCTCCTTTGTCACATGACGGGTGGTGATTGGAGGAGTAGGAAAAAAAAGAAAAAAAAAAAGAAAAGATAACCAATGAGAGAGAGAGGGAGTCAAAGGAAGTGGGGGAAAAGGGGATGAATCATTGTTGCCCAACAAAAGCAAAGAAAAATATAACGTTAAAAAAAATCAAATTTGGATTAGGCATCGCTGCTCTTAAAAAAGTTTAAAAAAATATTATTTTATTTAAATTATATTATTTTTTCATCATATCACTTTTGATTTATATTTTATAAAAAATTAAAAAATATATTTATTGAGATCTTTCCAAACAACCCCTTAATTACTTTATAATTAAAATTTATAATATGACTTAGATAAAATAATATAATTTAAATAAAATAATAATTTTTTTAAAATAATAATTTTTTTAATTTTTTTGACTTTTATAAAATACCATAAATAAGGTGTTATGAACTACCCTGTAAAAGTAACAGATTAGGTTAAGGCCAAGTTTGGGAAGACTAAATAAGTGCACTTTTTGTCTTTTTGGACTAAAAAATTGAGGTTGAAAATATGGATGTTTGGGTTAACTTTTTGACTTTTTATTGAAAAATGTGTAATAAAAAATTGTAAAAATTGATTTGTAGGAAAAAATTTGAATTGGGAGTTGTGCAGCCGTAATTGTTGACTTTTGGTGAATAGTGTTAACTTTTTAACTTTTTGAGTAACTTTTTGACTTTTTAACTTTTTTGAGAGTACCCAAACTTAGCCTAAAAGTAACAACGTGTATCTACGCGTGTAACAAGATTGAATTGATTAAGGATTCAAAGTTACAAATAATCCATCCTTTTATTTATTTTTCTTTTTTCATCACATTATTTTATTTTATTTTTTTTTTATATTTTTTTATAAAAAAATATAAAATACACTTATTTACAACATCTCAAACAACTCCTAAATAATGACTTTGCTCATTATCTCTTTTTATTCCTTTTTCTTTCTTCATTTTTGTTTTTTTGGTCTGTCTTTTTCCTCCTGTCTGTCTTTCCTTCCTTGTTGCTACACTGCACAGATCACCTTACCATCTCCTCACTGTCACCTCTATGTCCTTCTCACTCACTTCCTACAACAACCTAAGACCACCACCATTGAAACTATGGCCTTCTATGGTAGTCCAGCTACCCTGAGGCCACCCAAACCACCACTACTTTATATTGTCTATTTCTTCTACCATTATTCTTCTTCTCCTTATCATTACATACACACACATTTGTATATATAGGCGCACATAGCCAACTAAACCAAGACCCAAATTGTAGTGGTGGCTACCACCATGGGTGCCGTAAGAGAGGAAGGTGGTGGGTGGTGATTGAGTCGAGAAGAAAGACGGGTAGTGCAGGTTGATGGTAGTGTAGTTGATAATATGATGAGAGATGGATGAGCTTGTTAGATGATCAGAACAGTGGGCTGCTGGATTTCTATTGGGTGTTTTGTGTGCTTCGAGGAAGAATACAAAGGAAATGAGTGAGTCGATGCTCTTGTGCAGCCATGGGCAAGGTTCTAAATCGCGGTATCGGGTAACGTAACGGTATCGATCGCGAAATATCGGTATCGGTAGTATCGATTGGTACGTATCGGGAATCGGGTGTCGCGGTGGTGAAATTTTAAAAATCATTTCAAAAGTTTTTGAACTTTTTCTTTCCCGTACCAGTCCGAACCGGTGAGTATCGGCCCGTCGCGGCTTGTGTAACGGCTTGTGTAACGCTTACAGGCCGATACGTACCGGGACTCGGCCGATACTCCTGCGATTTTTAATCTCAGTGGTATATCGGCCTGTATCCGTCGCGGTACCCCATTTTTCCGATACGTATCGGCCGATACGTAGCGTATCGGCCGATATTGCAAAAAAAAAATAGAGAGACCGAAAAAAATAAAAAATAAATAAAAAAAAAAATAAAAAAAAAAAGGATTAGGGAAATATTTTATTTTCACAAATTTCATAAATGGTAAACACTATTTAGATAAACACCATTTTGGGTTGATGCTACAATCCCGTTTATTAATTGGGTTGCATTAGGTGATAGAAAGGAGGTAGTGCTTGCTTGGGACAACTATGGAAGTAGCTTGTTAGGTTTACTTTTAGAGAGAGAAAGTTGCAGTGTTAGTTCTTGTTTGGAGCAACTATGAAATGACTTGTTGGGTTTACTTTTAGAGTTAGAAAGTTGTAGTGCTAGTGCTTATTTGGGGCAACTACGGAGTAGCTTGTTGGATTTAGTATTGGAGAGAAAAAGTTGTAGTATTGTGTTGGTGATATGTAAAAGAAAATTAGAGAAGAGGATAAAGGTGATATTGACTTTTTAACAAAAATATTAATGGAGTTAGACTTTACATTACACTCCAAACCACAAAGTGGTTATGTGTATATTTATTTTTTTTGATTCAATGGAAAGATAACAAAAGCAACAGCAACAAAGAACAATGGACTAAACAAGCTTAAGCCCTTTTATAAGATAAACCAACTATATCTATAACAAGCAGATTAGCAATTTCAGGAGGGGGGTTGTCCAGCACTACCAGATTATCTCCATGAGACACTCCTATATTTGCTAGTCTATCAGCACATTGGTTTTCTTCGTAGAGGATGTGGCGAACCTCAGAGTAGCACCTGTGCATTAGGAATTTGATGTCCTCTAGAAGTGCTTGGTAGGGGTAGTTGCTAGGTGTAGTAGAATTGATGTGGATCACCAATTGTTCTGCATCAGCTTCAATCAAAACATCTCTGATGCTTTTCTCTAAAATGATGGTGAGACCTCTATATATGCCCCAAAGTTCTGCTTCCTCACTCGTGGCTGATTCCAATTTCCCATGAAATCCAAAGATCCAGGTTCCGCGAGCATCTCTACACAAACCACCATAACCAGCAGGACCAGGGTTGCCTTTGGAGCATCCATCGGTGTTGAGCTTGATTTTTCCTGCACAAGGAGGGCACCAATTAGTTTTAAAGTGTAAGTAATCACCTGTGAAGTGGTCTGTGTGGAAGGCATGATGTATTTCTGCAGCTTCATGTTGAATCTGTCGCACTAATTCCTAGGTATGGATGGCCTCCTGATTGAACACCACATTGTTTCTAGCTTTTCATAATCGCCACAAGGTCACAACAAAGACAGTACCCCAGGGGATATTAAAACACTCTCTGTTTTTGCTTTTTAAATTATGCTGGAGCCAAGTGTCCAAGGAACTGAGAGCACTAGGAGCTCTCCAGCTGTGATGGGTTAGTGTCTCACATACTTCTGCAGATTGGTGACACTCTCGTAACAAGTAGTTCAGGTCCTCGCAGTAGAGCTGACAATGATGGCATGTGTCATCGATGGTAAGGCCCCTAATCTTCCTTTGGTGGTTGGTGAGAACTTTGTTAAGCATTAGCAAACAAATAAACCCCTTCAGTTTTTGGGGAATTTTGAGTTTCCAGATCCAGTGCCAGCTAACTGGGCCAGTGTCCGGAGACGAGACTTGATTAGCAACTAACTTATAGGCAGCCCCAACAGTAAAACCACCAGTAGAGGAGCCAATCCAATGTGGGTTATCCCCCAGCTCCACAAATTGTGGAAGGTGGATCTGTTGGATTTGAGGCTGCAAAAGTTGTGGCAGAACATTAGCAGCCCCTTCCATATCCCATTCACCTTCCTCATTGATTATAGCAGCAACAGTAACATCCTCTGTGATATGTGGACCTGGAAAGATAGAAGCAAGAGGCCCATTTCCACACCACCAATCTTTCCAAAATGAAAGGGATTTGCCATTACCCACTGGCCATTTAGCTCCCTCAGCTAGAATGGCTCTAGTCTTCATGATGCTCCTCCAAGTATGAGATGCATTTGTGGTAGAAGGCCAATTGGAGAAAGTGTGCTTATGTAAGTATTTTCCCCTGAGGATTTTGGTCCAGGCAGTATCTTTGTCAGAGTTTAGCTTCCATCCCAATTTAGCTAAGAGGGCAACATTCTGATCTACAGCTCTTCTAAGGCTTAGACCTCTATCTTGTTTGGCTTTACATACTTGTTTCCAATTGACCAAATGGACTTTTTTCCTTCCTTCTTGACCATTTCATAGGAAATTTCTATTCAGCTTGTCAATGTGTTTGCAAATGCTTTGGGGAAGTTTAGTGGTTTGCATAAGGTAGGTAGGTATGGAAGATGAAACAGCCTGAATGACAGTAGCTCTACCGGCTAAAGATAGAGCTTTGGCTTTCCAAGAGGACAACTTTCTCTGAATTTTTTCAATGACACCATTAAAAATGTTTCTGCTGACCCTACTATGGATAAGAGGAACTCCAAGATATCTACCAAGGTCTTGAGTTAAGCTGATATTACACAAAGAACTGAGCTCGTTGGCTAAATTCCTATGGATATTGAGGGAAATATACATTTTGGATTTTTGGAGATTGATTCTCTGCCCTGAAATGCAGCAAAATTCATTCATGGTTTCCAAGATTGTCTCACAGTTAATTTGATCAGCTTTGGTAAATAGGAGGAGATCATCTGCAAAAAATAAATGGGAGACTGGTGGGCTATTTTTGGAAGCTTTCAGCCCCATTCATTTTCCTGTATCCACCTGCACTCTGGTCATATTAGATAATCTCTCCATGCAAAGAACGAACAAATACGGTGAAAGAGGGTCACCTTGTCTAAGACCACGACCAGGGTTGAAATTTTCCATGGTTTCACCGTTCCATAAGATAGAAAAGTTCACAGAGGACACACAAGACATTATGAGATCAACCCAATGTTGGTGAAGGTTAAATTCTTCAAGGGTAGCTTTCAAAAAAGGCCAGGAAATTCTATCATAA